GCAGTCATGAGGGGAGCCCCCGTGCAGTCATGCAGGTGAGCCCCTGGTGCAGTCATGCAGGTGAGCTCCATGCAGTCATGCAGGGGAGCCCCAACAGTCATGCAGGGAAGCCCTGTGCAGCCATGCAGGTGAGCCCCTGGTGCAGTCATGCAGGGGAGCCCTGTGCAGTCATGCAGGGAAGCCCTGTGCAGCCATGCAGGGGAGCCCCTGATGCAGTCAGGCAGGGGAGCCCCTGATGCAATCAGGCAGGTGAGCCCCCGTGCAGTCAGGCAGGGGAGCCCCATGCAGTCATGCAGGTGAGCCCCTGGTGCAGTCATGCAGGGGAGCCCCCACTCGCTGTTTCCGTTCTAACTCAGGTGGTATTTTTCAAAGTGTTTACATTATGGACAATAATTAACACAGAAGAACATTTAATGATGAAACACTTTAAAGGGGGCGGAAGTTGCTGTCTTATTTTCTATCTTGATGTTGTGTTAATAATATCTTAATTACTAAGTTACTCGATGTTAATAATGTGTTAAAACAATCCTCCCTGTGCTCAATATAGGGGCCTGGGGGAATTGCTGTGCCCTCTGCAACCCTTTAATATGAGTGGTGCATGATTTTTAAAAGAAAAAAGAAAATTCTAGTTTTATTTGGGAGCTTATAGACCATTTCTCATTTTTCCTAAACAAATGGTCCTCAACTAACTAATTTATGATAATTACTTTCTAGTTTTACAGCATTTAAAATCAGACAGTATTTGACCAAGGCCCCTGGCACACACTGAGTGTAATAAGCTATTCCACGTGGGAAAACGCGGTCATTGTAATTATATTTAAGTATGTCTGCCAACTTTATAATGTGCTCCCAGTGGAGCCCACGATGGCTCACATTGGACTTCACAGGGGTCAGTTCAGGTGGGCGCGGGGAGAGACTCGTCCGCCACCAGGAAGGGGGCTGGTGGGCCTTGGGCTGGGGCGCGTTTGCAGTGTATGTTGACATCAGTTCACATTTCAAGACACGCGGTTTCCAGACATTTGCTCCTCCGAGTCCTCTGAGTGCGTTTCTCCCTGTCATTGCAGCGTCCTCGACCTAAACGCCTTTGAGCGGCAGAACAAAGCTGAAGGGCTGGGGATGGTGACCGAGGAAGGATCAGGTATGGGTTAGATGGTGACAAAGAAGGATCAGGTATGGATTCCTTAAAGTAGAAGGTCGCCTGCTCCCCCTTCCTTCCTGAAACGAATCAGCTATCAGTTACCTTTTCAATACAGAGAGACACAGGTTTTCTTTAAATGGACAAAATGCTTATGTGACTCATTTAAAGCCCCTAAGTGGTCACTCAAGCAAGTCACACCCAAATCCAACCGTATTGTTACCGGCTGTCGGTGGCCTTCCCCTGCTTGGGTGTTAGAAGAAGATCCCTATTAGAGAATTATCCACAAAGTGAGAAAGCGCATGGGTGAACACGTTAGGAACATGCCTCCACCAGCAGGCTGTCAGGTCCCCCTGACATTGCTGCCTGCTGCCTCCTCCTGGCAGCTGTCCTTGTAGCTCATGGACCCAGGCATCTTTGCAAGCGCAAATTCTTTGATGAAGGAAATTGAAGAGTAATGTTTCTTTTGATAACTCTGATCACAATTTACATGTGCACAAAAACTACTCACATAATCTTAGAGTTTTTCCTCTCTATAGATAGATGCATATATAAACTAGGAAAATGAGCACATGGAGCAGTGGAAGCAGAAATAACTATTGTTGCACACCTATTTTAATATTTATTCAGAAAAAAAATATTCAATATTTTTTATTTGTTTTTATTCTTTTGTGTTTGATTTTTTAAATTAACTTAGTTTTGGTAAGCCTCTATGTGTTTATCTGTTTTTGTGTGTTTGGTCTGGTTTGGAGTTATCAATATATTAGTTTTGGAACATTGGTTTTTCTATTAAGCCAATCTTGCTGCAAACAATAAATTTCCTCCCACCTGCCATTGGTAGACTGCTGGCCTTTCTGAGATAATTTAGAATGAACTAATCTCTCTATCTCTGTATATTTTTGTTCTCACAGTAGGAAAAAGAATTAGTGCATATTTCTTGCTGGATTTGAAAGACAGTCATTTAGACACATTCTAATGCCGCTGCCATCCCTGTGTGGTTTTCTCTTGTGCTTGGCAGTTGAATGTGTAGGTTCCATCACCAAATAGCAGTTGTACAATAACTTAATTGTGTGAGCTACCTTCAAGGTAACCCCAGCAGCAGCCTACTTGGGTTTTCTGAGGATGCATATGAAGGAAAATGCCTTGGAGTTTGTGTCACAGTCCCACCCCTGGCCTGAGGGCCCGAGGGGAGCTCGGAGCCACAGTCTCGGGCCTGCCTCTCCCCCGGAGTCTGGGGCAGTTCCCAGCTATAAAGGGCCTGAAAATGAGTGAATTCTTTGTTCAAAGTCTGACTTCCCTGTCTTGGAATTGGAACTCTTTCATTTTTCCTTGACGCTGCCCCTAAAGTTACTAATGCTCTAAACACAATGTCAGGAATCGTTAGCCAGTTCATGGCGGCCACCCAGGATTCATTTCCTGGGTCTTCTGCCTGTTGTCAGCCAGGGGAGGATGCAACACCTGTGACCCCAAATCAGAAACAGCTGGGTGGGTGCGGCAGGCTCCTTCGACAATCGCCATCTCTCAATAGGCGCTCGATCTGATTTGTCTGTGCTTTGTCAGCACACAGGCCAAGTATTGCCCAAACTGATGGACGCCTTTTCTATTTCATTCCTTACTAACAGCAAGACAAAAACAAACCTCACCTTTTCTCTTCCCCCATTTCCTTTTCTTCCGACTACTGTGCGCACTGTCCTCCCTTCTGCAGCCGTCACTCATGAGCATGGTAACTATCCAATGAGCCGCCCGTGGCCACTGACTCCCCGATTGCTGCGGCTTTTCCCTGGACAGTGGCAGTCTGGGCGCTTTCCTCTTATAGACCTTCCATAGGCCGTTTAAACAAGTAGATCATTTCCTTTCTACTATTATGCATCCTGTTATTTAAAAAATGCATATACCAATATTTTCTTTTTCCCCCTTTTCTCTGAGGATATGCATATTGGACACAAAGGAGCAACAAGCACTTAAATTAAGTTTTTGGATGTTCTGTTCGGTTTCTTTCATTTAAAAAGTCTGGGAGACCCAGTGTTTGCGACGGTTGTGAACACGGGTGACTGCGGGGTGCAGGGTCTCCCGGGGCCTCTCTGTCGGGGATGCACTGGGGCTTTATGGCTACGCAGCTGGGGCACCGGACACCAGCGGCCACAGCCTCTGCCCTTCCCTCCACGCACTGAGCAGGCGTGGCCTCCTCTCTTCCTTCAGAGCATCACAGGTTAAAACTAATTGTTATTCTTCAGACCGAATTGAAAGAACTCTAGGATAATAGGAATATTTGCTCTTCAAACTCATATAACAAAGTTGGTATTAACATTTCAGATCGTCCCTAAAAGACATACAAGGGGGATAAGGAAGGGGCTGAGGTGATAGGACTTTCCAGAGCAAGATCAGCTAAATGGACTGACTTCTGGCATATTTTAAAAGCGTGTGACACAGCCATTCTGTTAAGATTTTACAAAAGATAAGAAAACATGCCCCTCATCAGAGAAGGAAAGTGGCTCATTCCTCTGCAGTCAAACGCGGAGAAACCTGAAAAGTATAAACTGTGAGTGACGTCGCTCCCGGGCTTGAAGCTCCTGCTCTGGGCCACCGTCTGTCCGAGCTCAGTCTTCCCTGTCGTCTCTCGCTGTCTTGCTGGGATGATGAAGTGGCCGAGGATGTAGCCGAGGAAAATGTGTCACTTAAGCACATAAACCTTTTGCTACCCGCCCACAACCCTACAAGGAGGCGTTGTCCCACTTTATTTTTTGTTTCTTTTAAATATATTTTTATTGATTTCAGAAAGGAAGGGTGAGGGAGGGAGAGAGATAGAAACATCAATGAGAGAGAATCATTGATCAGCTGCCTCCTGCACGCCCCCTACTGGCAATTGAGCCTGTAACCTGGGCATGTGCCCTGACCGGGAATGGAACCGGGACCTCCTGGTTCATAAGTCGACGCTCAACCACTGAGCCACACCAGCCGGGCAGGCTGTGCCTTTATTTAGTGTTATCACCACCTCTACTAACACTGAGCTCTCCACATTTGTAGAAATGGTCATGCAGGTTGTGAAGAGCCTGTGAGGGCAGAGCCCTTTATCCCCATTTTATAGATGACAAGACTAAGGCAGAGAGAACCACTCGCCCTCAGCAGCGACATTTCAATAACCTTCCTTCATTATAGTGTCAGAAATGCAAGCCCTTGTCATTAAAACCACCAGCAAAGGAGAGCTCCTCACAGCAGGCACACTTGGCAGTGACCACAGGCAACCTTGCAAGGATGTAGGAGCCTTTTCAACCCTGTTTCATCACTGATGACTAACCTCAGTTCATGGTCCAGCGTGCTTTCTCCTGGCCGTCCCAGGTGGCCTGATCTCCTGTGCCCCCCGACAGAAAGCCTCACCCCTCTGGCGGCACCTGCTCCTGCAGCATGGGCGGCAGCAGCATTTCCACCAGATGCAAATGTGTCCATCACACAGTTGCACCCACGTCATACCAGCTCACCTGTTCACCTGGCGGGAATGGAGGCTCCCCCCTCCCCCAATTCTTCTGCTGTGAGCAGGTGTCCTCGTGTAAGTGAAGCTATGGTGTGCGTATACGGTTGAGAGGAAATACTGCGCAGGCCAGCAATGGCTAGCACCCTGGTGTAGATGAGGGTGCGGTGCACTGAGCATGTCAGGCCCACGGGTGGAGCCGTGACATTGACCTCAGTGTCAACTGTTCTGTGTCCTCTCTCTCAACGGTTACTCACTGCACTTGAATATATGCACATTGAACGTATGTGCATGGCTTATGGATTTGATTTTCTGGGGAAAAACATTTCAACAGGCTCCCAAGAATCAATCATCCATGGAACTGCTAATCTTTTGATCTGAGTCTCATTTTAAAGGCCCTTCTGGTGATGCTGAGTGTCATGGATGATGAGTTTAGTTTCTCGGCCCAGACTGTCCTCTCTCCTTTGTCCCGTCGTGAACATAAACCCTAAGGAATGGGCTTAGCAGCCATGTGAGGAGATTCAAACCACGTGCTTCTAGCGGGCGAACTTGGCACAGCACTGGCTGCTCACCTGGTGATTTTAGTTTGGTCGCCAAATAGCGTATCTTACAATCTCACAGGGAAACCAGTACAGGGATGCCATGTACTTTTTTTAATGTTTATATTAAAAACATAATAGTTTTGCTTCCTAACCCTCCCATTCTATGAGCCTGTCACTTTGAAAGTCACAGATGCAGACTGGTAAGTCCATCTGCTCCGCCATTGTCATCGTCACTGTCATCCAGGTGCACACGCACCATCGCAGCTCTCTCAGCTGGAAGTGCTCCCAGGCTGAGGAGTTAGTATTTTTTAAACATATAAATACATTCATCCACTTGCCAAACAACATTTTTTGTCATTTTTATTCCTAAACTATATGTTGAACGCTCATCTATTGAACATTTTCTTCACTGACCCTGTTTGCTTTGAAAATCAGCTTGCAATGTGTGGTACAGGTTTTTAGTTTGTTTGTTTGTTTGTCCTTCTGCTTTCGAAGTCGCTTGTGATAAAGATACATTTAAATTGAAATATAGGTGGAATGACAGCCCCTTCCCCACAAGCACATTAGCTCCCATGATGCAGCGTAAGCAGGTGTAACTGTAACACTGGTCATTGATGCAGTAATCACTCCCGTCCACATCTATCAGAAATTAGAGGGTGAGAACAAAAGTTTAAACCCTCAGGTTGCTCCTAAAATGTTGCCAAGCCCATGCTGCTCCTCTTAACAGAGAGAAACCTGGGTGTTAAGGTTCACAGGCTCTTTTCTAACAAAGAAAATGGGCTTCTATCTGCCAAGCGCATGGTCTCGTGAGCTTCAGATAGAGGCGGCTGCCCTGTGCCTGCGGCCGGTCACACGGGGCCGGCCTGATGTGCGGGGAGATGGAGGAGGGACGGGACATGCTCGCTTGCTTGGAGGGTAACGTCTGGACTTCCCTGCAGGCGAGAAGGTCCTTCAGGACGATGAGTTCACCTGCGACCTCTTCCGCTTCCTGCAGCTGCTCTGCGAGGGGCACAACTCAGGTGCGTGAGGCCTGAGGCTGGAGGCTGGTGCCCAGGAGGACATGCTTGCCGCCAGTACTGACAGAGGCCTGTCCGTTGTGATGACGGGTCAGCCCTGCAGGGGGAGCTCAGCCACGAGAGCCGGGCCACATCCCTCTTTCTGTGTTGCATCACTACCTGGCAGCCCTTTGTAGCCATCTCACTATTCCAATCAGTTGTTCTGATGTGGAGAAGACAGGTGGCCGGTGGAGAAAGACACACGGGAGAGATCTGTGTAGGGAGCTCTGTGGCTTGGTTTCCTCTGTGCCCCTGGTGCCCGGGGACGGTGCCACAGCATCACCTAGGATGCCGTGTTCCATGCCCTATTTATGGGTGCGGCTCCCTACAGCCGTGCATCCGGAGGGCGGGAGCGGGGCGGGACTCTCCTCTCTTCCCTGTCACTGAGCCAGTCCTAGGAGCAGAGGACTGTGGGTAATCTAATCACCGTCTCCTAGACGGTGGAGCTCCTATCCCGTCCCCAGGCCCGGAGCTCCAGAGCGAAGGATCGGGAACGGTCAGCACCCTCTGAGACAGAAACGGACTAGTTAGGTTCTGGGAAGCCCCAGGCGGGTGTATGGGGCGTCCCTCACTTCTTATGGACACTCTGAACTACTTCATATTAAAACTGCTCCTGGCCACAAGGATTTTGCTGGAGACATCATTTGCTGGTGGAGTTATTCAGATAACAAGTCATTTTACACTTTGGACCGAGAGGTAATAACATCGTTTGGTCTCGTGCAGATTTTCAGAATTACCTGAGGACTCAGACTGGCAACAACACCACCGTGAACATCATCATCTCCACCGTGGACTACCTGCTGCGGGTGCAGGTACGCGGCCTCGTGCCTGGTGGCGAGCTAGAGGGGCTGCTTGGCCGAGATAACACGGCGGGTTCCTGGGTGAGGCTGCCGTGTCTCACGGGGCTTTGGTCTCCTGTCAGGACTTGTCAGACGTTCCGCCTCTGATCCGTCTCTGACCCAGCCTCCGGGTGAGCGGCCACCTGGCTGTCTCTGATCCTGGCTCCACTTCCCTCATTATGTCCTTTCTACAGTGCGGATTTTTCCCCACGGTTTTTAGCTTTGGTGGCATTTGAAATTTTCTTTTCATTTTGTCAAGCCCTGACATGCTGTGCTCCCCTTTGCAGCTGATGGATAAATAGGGGAAGGATATTTGGAACATTCTCGGGAATGGGAAAGAAAGGCTTTCAGACCACCTAGATGCTTAAATTTAATAACCTCAGGTTTGATCCTTTCAGCTGTCCTAATATGATTTTTATCCACTTCCCAATCTGTTATGTAGAACGATTTCCTGTTACAGATTTCAGAGCTGAACAGGTCAGCCTTGGCCTCACACTGTGCCTTCCCCCTCGGCCTCTCTTCCAGGAGTCCATCAGTGATTTCTATTGGTACTACTCGGGGAAAGACGTGATCGATGAGCAAGGACAGCGGAACTTCTCCAAAGCAATTCAAGTAGCAAAACAAGTGTTTAACACCCTCACAGAGTATATCCAGGTAAACACGTACCCACTTCTGCTATTTAGAGAAAGAAGGAAAACAGGAGTCAACCGATTACCCTGGAATCCCATGGGAAAAGGCAACAGGATGAAAGCCCTTTCCTGTCACCATCCCATGGCTGATGGACCTCGTCTGCAGATCCTTAGCCAGGGATGATGGTCACAAGGTTCGGTGGAGAGGGGATCTTCACGGAACGACTTGCTTTACCCTTTGGCGGACTGAGGGGTCCTTAACTCCTCAGGGCGTGGCCCATGGTGTTGACTGAGGTCTCCAGGGCCTGGTGTATAAACAGCTCGCAGCCAGCATTAAGGGAGGGGGAGGAGGGCATTGATTCACTTGACCATATTCCAGGAAAAGCGAGGAAAAAGTGTCATGGAGACTTTATAAAAAAGAAGAGACTGGTCTTAACAGCTTCATGTTAGTGTGTGTGTGTAATTATATAATATAACCATGTATGATATAGGTAAAATTCCAAATACTATGAGGAATATACCTTTCTTAAATATTGGTTTGTTTTATGTTCTCTTTAGGCTACATTTGTCTTAACCTGAAAATTTTGAAAAGATTTTATAAAATTCTGTGTTTTTTCCCCAACCAGCCACACTTTGCTGTTTCCTGGAGGCCAGTCCGTCCTCTTTCCTTCCTCCCTTCTCCATGGGCGGGGTTAGCAGTACCTCTGCGTCAGGGAGCCGCTGGGCACCGTGCCCCGTGCTGAGGGCAAACAGGAGAGAGGGGTGGTAGTTTGCTTCCTTGGGCTGAGCATAATCTTGGGGGGGAGGTTATGTAAAGTAACAGCCACATGCCCGGATGTGGCGAGGGACAGGTGTGGTAGGACAGGTGAGTGAGTGCCTGTCTCCTGAGGGCACCATTGTCGTCACTGCACAGCTTACATTTTGGGGTCTTTCTTTTCAGTGTTGGTGATAAGAGATGTTAATTTTGGCCCTATTGTTGGCAGTGAGGTTATCAGCAGTGATGCCGTTGGTCTGTTTCCCTGTAGGGTCCGTGCACTGGGAACCAGCAGAGCCTGGCCCACAGCCGGCTCTGGGACGCCGTCGTGGGCTTCCTCCATGTGTTTGCCCACATGCAGATGAAGCTGTCCCAGGTAAAGGCACCGCCTCCCGCCCTCCTAGATGCCGGCGGGGACAGCAGCTACTCGCACACAAAGCATGCTCTCCCTTATTTCACATCACATTTCTTAGCTTACTTCTTTATATGTCTTTTACTCCACATTTAAAAACATTTTCTTAAATGAAAGAACTGTATGCACCCTGGCCAGTGTGGCTCAGTGGGTTGGAGCGTTGTTCCATGCACCAAGGCACATACCCAGGTTGCTCGTTCTATCCCTGGTCGGGGGCAACTGATCAATATTTCTCTCTCACATCAATGTTTCTCTCCCTTCCCTCTTTCTCTTGAATCAGTGAGAACATGTCCTAGGGTGAGGATTTAAAAAAATTTAATAATTTGATGCAAGCTGAGAATAGATGAGCGCTATCATTCAAATTTGAGAGCAAAAGATACTGAACACTTGACTATAGGAGAAATAAAAGAGTTTAGTCCCCAGTGTTGAACATTTGCAACCCTTCGGGGACCCACGTCTCCATGACACTCACCGAAGCTCCCTCCTCCCTGCCGATGAGGGGACACGGATTTGAAATCCTCCAGGCCCCGTGGAAGGGAGAGGTGTGCGCATGGGGTCCACACAAGCAGCTGGCCTCCATAGAGGAACTCACCACTAGCAGGAAAATCAACTTCGTGAAAGTCAAAGAGAGAAAGTAGCTCTAAGGATGAGCCAATAAACATAGATTGTCGGCTTCTCCTTGGTCCTGAGATGCTGGGAGGGGTCGCCGTGGGTGGAGCAGCGCCTCCGGGGGAGCCCTCAGGTTCCTGCTGCATTTGCTCCGACGGCCTCCAATGCCACATGTTGCTCTTTCCAGGATTCCAGTCAAATCGAGCTCCTGAAAGAGCTGATGGACCTGCAGAAGGACATGGTGGTCATGCTGCTGTCCATGTTGGAAGGTAGCCTCGGCTTCGTGTTCGTTTGTACTTAGAGGTTTACATTGTGCAACCCGCATCGCCTTGGTTCTTCTACTTTAAGGGCCAGTATTCAGCTTCCACCCCCAGAGAGGACAGAGGCCCGGGTTTATTGGGGGCTTTATAAACTTTTCTCAGGTTCGTGTTTAAGAAAGAGACATTGTCTATGAGGAATGATTTTTCAACCCTAAAGGGCTTTGTGAAGGCTCATTCTTACTGTTAATATGAGGCTGGATTTCAGTTTCTGCCCATTTTCTTTATCCTAAAACATGACCAATTTGAGGGGGAAAGGCCGGCTTCTGTTCAAATACTCCTCCATGGTTATTAGCATGGTGTTGCGCGTGTTTGTGTAATTACAGTGACTGGCTGACTCCTGGGCCTCACACACTGGAGGAGGCCCAGGGCCGTGCCTGACACGGGGCTGGGAGGCCTGTGCTGCTCTCTCTGCGGACGGTGCTCGCTGTGAATGAGTGCCTTTGTCTGCCTGCAGGTAACGTCGTGAACGGGACCATCGGCAAGCAGATGGTCGACATGCTTGTGGAGTCGTCCAACAACGTGGAGATGATCCTCAAATTCTTCGACATGTTCTTAAAACTAAAGGACTTGACCTCTTCTGACACGTTTAAGGAATACGACCCCGACGGCAAGGGCGTCATCTCCAAGAGGGACTTCCACAAAGCGATGGAGAGCCACAAGCACTACACGCCGTCGGAGACCGAGTTCCTGCTGTCCTGCGCGGAGACGGACGAGAACGAGACCCTGGACTACGAGGAGTTCGTGAAGCGCTTCCACGAGCCGGCCAAGGACATCAGCTTCAACGTGGCCGTGCTGCTGACCAACCTCTCGGAGCACATGCCCAACGACTCGCGGCTGCAGACCTTCCTGGAGCTGGCGGAGAGCGTGCTGCGCTACTTCCAGCCCTTCCTGGGCCGCATCGAGATCATGGGCAGCGCCAAGCGCATCGAGCGCGTGTACTTCGAGATCAGCGAGTCCAGCCGCACGCAGTGGGAGAAGCCGCAGGTCAAGGAGTCCAAGCGCCAGTTCATCTTCGACGTGGTCAACGAGGGCGGCGAGAAAGAGAAGATGGAGCTCTTCGTGAACTTCTGCGAGGACACCATCTTCGAGATGCAGCTGGCGGCCCAGATCTCCGAGTCGGACCTGAGCGAGCGGTCGGCCAGCAAGGAGGAGAGTGAGAAGGAGAAGCCAGAGGAGCAGAGCCCGAGGACGGGCTTCTTCTCCCTGCTGACCGTCCGCTCGGCCCTGCTGGCGCTCAGGCACAACCTGCTGACGCTCCTGCGCATGCTCAGCCTGAAGAGCCTGAAGAAGCAGATGAAGAAGGTGAAGAAGATGACGGTGAGGGACATGGTCACGGCGCTCTTCTCCTCCTACTGGGGGGCGCTGGCCAGCCTGCTGCACGTGGTGGCCAGCGTGCTGCGCGGCTTCTCCCGCATCGTGGGCAGCCTGCTCCTGGGGGGCAGCCTGGTGGAGGGTGCGAAGAAGATCAGGGTGGCGGAGCTCCTGGCCGACATGCCGGACCCCACGCAGGACGAGGTGCGGGACGACGGGGAGGAGGGCGAGCGGAAGCCGCTGGAGGCCGCCCTGCCCTCGGAGGACCTCACCGACCTGAAGGAGCTGACGGAGGAGAGCGACCTGCTCTCGGACATCTTCGGCCTGGACCTGAAGCGGGAAGGGGGGCAGTACAGACTCATGCCTCATAACCCCAACGCCGGCCTCAGCGACCTCATGAGCAACCCAGACCCCGTTCCCGAGGCGCCAGAGAAAGTGCAGGTACCGGAGCCCTGTCGCGGCAGCTCGGGCCCAGGGGCACCTTGTGAGTCAGTGGGCGTCCAGGCTGGCGCTCCAGGGTCCAGCACGAGCCTGAGTTTCCAGAGAGAGTGGCCTTTTGGTCAGCAGAGCTGCCTCTGGAGGTCCGTTACCAGTTACTGAATTATCTTAATGAGTAGGTGTGAACCGAGCACTCACGCAGACATTAGGCAATGAAACGGGTCCATCCACAGGTACTTGACCCGGCTCACCGTCAGAGGGAACGCTCCTGACAGAACTAGAAAAGCGTTCGTGCTGGTGGACGGCAGGGTCCCACGCGTGGCGTGAATGAGGCGGCAGTGGTGTTGGCAGTGGTTGGAGCAGATCTGAGCAGTGGGACTTAGTTGGCCTTGGTGCGTAGGATTCGAGCAGGTGGTTGAGGAAATGAGAGGAAAATGGAGGCGCCCAGAGCGGCACCTGCTGCCCTGGGGCGGGGGGAGGGGGTGGAAGGGAAAGTGCCGTCTCCACCGAGGCAGGGGTCACCTAGAGGTCGCCACTTGGCGCCTGGGCACAGGGCTCCCTGAACTCATCCCAAGGTGGTGTGTGACCTGCTTTTCTTCCCCTTCACTTCAAGGAACAGGAGACAAAAGAGGAAGAAAAGGAAGAAAAAGAAGAAAACAGATCGGAACCCGAGAAAGCCGAGTACGTGCGGTTTCCTTGTTGGCTGGTGCTCTCTCTCCAGGGCACGGAATGGAGACTCTGTCCTCTCTGGGGACAGGCTCAGCACCAGGACCTCCATGCCGGGGCATCAGTGTGGGCACCGCCCGCCCGGGGCCGGGCCAGCCTCGGCCTCCGGTCCCATCGCCGTGTCCCACAGCAGGGATGCCGCGTGGTTCCTCGGGACGCCTCCCAGAGCCCAGGGCCCAGCTCTGGTGTAACTGCACATGGGATTCCGTCCTGGAATCCATCCCCAGTGGGGGGCGTGCAGGAGGAAGCGGATCGATGGTTCTCTCTCATCATTGATGTTTCCCTCTCTCTCCCTTCCTCTCTGAAATCAATCAAAACATCTTTTAAAAATGTTAGCTATACCTCCCGTGGGTGAGGTTAGGTGGGTTATGTATCTGTGGGTTTTGAATATGAGTCCGACTGCATAAATACACTTCCATGGAGGGTTGGTATGCTGCAGCTAGAGGGGTTTTAGGCATCCAATTTTAGTGCTGCTAATTTCATTATCATGTGAGAAATTAATATCCTGACATCCTTTCTATATGTGAACCACCAAATGCATGTCTCTGACATGAAGTCCTAAAGCTTAGCCACTGTTCCAGGTTGACTGTTAAAATCCTAATTCAGAAGTAAGGCAGGCTGGGGGTTTTCACTGTTACTCTCTTTTCGGTGCGATGTCTTATTGCACAGTGGGAAGGGGAGGTGCTCCGTACAGATACAGAGACACACCAGCCTGTGACATGCCCTTGAGATTTGAACTTCACAGGATTCTCCACAGGAGGCCAGGGTCACAGAAATCCAACCCCAAATTCTAAAATTGAACTATTACAGTTCATTGGAGGAGAAAGTTTTCAAAAATGATGCTGTGATTTGAATATGTGTTCATTTGTGTATTTTGGCACAAAGCCCGTTAGTTCTTTCGTCTTTTGCCGGCTTATGTGTTCTTGCCTGTTCCCAGGGGAGAAGATGGGGAGAAAGAAGAAAAGGCCAAAGACGAGAAGGGCCGGCAGAAGCTGCGGCTGATCCACACGCACAGATACGGGGAGCCCGAGGCCCCCGAGTCCGTGTTCTGGAAGAAGATCATCGCTTATCAGCAGAAGCTTCTGGTGAGCCCTTCAGGGTGGACGCTGCTGGGAGACATGGTGAGATCAGCGAGGCTGGGCCAGTCACTATAATAACTGAGGCTCCACGAGTGTCCGTGGGCTCCCGTGGGCGGCAACCAGGGAACCAAGTCCACCTGCTGGTGCGTTTGGTTGGCTCCGTGAGGACGGACCCGGGACCTCTGCACACGTCACAAGCCCGAGACCTTGGATGTGGTGGCTGCCACACCCCGTGTCTCCCCACAGAGACTAGGACGGGTCTGGGTGTGCACCGGGCTCCCTGCAGACCACCTGCAAGGGAAGTGACCGTCCCCGTGATTAAGTGTTCTCACTGCTTAGGTGCACGTATGGGACATGTTGTATGTACTGCAGGCAGATATGTGTGTGGTAGTAAGTTTTAACTAGGTTTTCTCAGCAGTCTGTACCTCCCCTGTGTTGTTTAGTGCAGAGGACTCTGAGCATAAACGTGTTCTAGAAAGCTCTGGGTGACCACTCGTGTGGGTGTTGTGGTAGGTGCCATGCTGCAGGTGAGGCTGCAGGTGAGGCCGGGTGTGGGGCACGGGGTCGAGTGAGCTCAGCGACACCAGCAGGAGCCCCGTGATTCCTAGGAATGTGTCGGCACCTGTGGGAGGCAGGTACAGAGGGGCTGGCATGGCTCTGCCCACTGGTTGCAGGCCCCTCTCTGCACGGGGGCTTCTCTGCTCACCAGTTTGCATGCACAGACGGGCCATGGTCACCTCAAGCCCAATGTCCCCAGGATTTCATCACCCCGGAGCTCAGTGCCAGAGTGACTGGCCCAGCCTCGCTGATCGGTCCACCCAGGAGGGTGAACGGTGTGACTGGCCCACGCGGCCCAGGGCTGTGGCAGTGAAGGCAGAGTCCCCTGTGGAAGGGACACCGCCAGCAGGCGTGTGTGCCGGAGAGGGACAGGAGACACGGTGCCTGTGACGTGGCCCCTGGCACATCCACACGGGCACCGTGCAGATGCCTCCCACTTAATATTAAAGCAAGTGCTGATCTCCCAGAGCCTTTTCCTCACACCCACTCTGTCTGGTTCTGTCCAGCTCAGAAAATGGCACCAGCTGTTGAGTTAGGTGCTAAGACCCAAACCCAGAAGTTACCGTCTCTGAGTTCTCCCTCTCTTCCACCTCAATACAGCCCAGCAGTAACCTTCTCAGCTCTGTCTTCTAGATGCGTGGGCTCTGCCCCGCGTCCCCATCTCCACGCGCCCCGGCCCAGCCTCCCTGGCAGCGGGATCTCTCCCCACACTCCTGCGTGTCCTCCTAGCCCATCCTCTGCTGCCACTCGGGCCCCTGCTCTATTTTCCACACGGACGCTGGGATAATCTGTCAAATCAGAGTCTGAGGGCATCAAGCCCTCTTCAGATCCTCCGAGAACAAAACAATTCCAACTGTGATAACAGGACTCATAGACTCTCCTCTATTATCGTATCTAATCCTCACAGCGAACCCTTATGAGGAGGTTCTGGTTTATCTGCACTTCACAGACGAGGGAAATGATGCCACCGCAGTGATTCAGTTCTTGTGCCCCCCGCCCCCTCGAGGCCCCGGAGATCACAGACCCCACACAGACCTCATCCGGGGCCTGCCACTCCCTCTAGCTCACCCGGACCCCAGCCCCTCCACACTCCCCCGCCCCCCGGCTTCCTCCTTTCTGTCCTCAGGGGCACCCCCACTGCTCTGACCTCGGGGCTGCCCCTGCGTGCTCCTCTCTCTGACACACATTGGGTCCCCACTTGTTCCCTGGCGACATTCAGGCCTCTGCTCACGCACCCCGTTCCCTCAGCCCGAGCCTGCTGGATTTTCCTCACCGCAGTGAGCATCCCCGAGGTGACGTTCTGCCTGTGGGTGTGTCTCCTCCGTGGTGCCCAGATTTCTAACTCAGTGATGTCCACGGTCTCAAGAATGATGCTTGATACGCACTAGGTGCTCAGGAAGGCGTTTGGGTAAATGAATGGACGCTTTCCTTAATGGTCTGCACATTTCAAGTCTCTCGATTCAGTGACCTTTTCCTTTTTTTCACCTTCAGAACTATTTTGCTCGCAACTTTTACAACATGAGAATGTTGGCCTTATTTGTCGCCTTTGCAATCAACTTCATCTTGCTCTTCTATAAGGTACGTGCTTCTTGGTCTTAATAACCAGTGCGACGCTACCGGCGGCCTGAGTGATGTACAGATGTCACAGACCCACCCTGAGCACGTCCCCGACCGTGAGGCGGGGGCAGTCCTTCCTGCAGCTCAGTGAGGTTCGGTTCGGCAGAGGCTCGCCCATGCTCCCCGCCCTGTGCACAGCTCACTCGTGGCTCAGCTGTGACATGCGGTTCCTCTGATCCTGGAGAGGCAGCTGAGCCATCTCGGTCCCCCCACGCGTGGGTCCTGGTAACTCCTGGTTCAGGAGAAGGGTTGGCACAAGCGTGTTAGTGATCTGCTGTCCCAGAAGCATCTGAGAACATCCCCCGTGGACCACGCGGAGGGTGGAGAGAGCACCCTTTCCCTGTGCCGGGCCCTCACGCCCAGTCACTGCGGAGAAGGCGGGTTCCTTGTTTCTCGTTGGCGCCGATACCTAGAGGGAGAGAACTGACCGCGCTCTAACTGGTTTGAATCAGGTCTCCACTTCTTCTGTGGTTGAAGGCAAGGAGCTCCCCCCTCGCAGCGCCAGCGAAAGCGCCAGAGTCAGCAGCCCCGATGACGGCGGTGAGGACGCGCCGGGCGTCCTGGCGGTGCACTACGTGCTGGAGGAGAGCAGCGGCTACATGGAGCCCACGCTGCGCATCCTGGCCGTGCTGCACACCGTCATCTCCTTCTTCTGCATCATCGGCTACTACTGCCTGAAAGTAAGCCGCGCCGGGCACTGTGGCCGCGCCTGGGGAAGCGGGTTCTGGGGTGGAAATTACATGCACGGAGCTTATTCGGAATGTTCCAGAAAGCCACACCTGTGGACAGTGGGAGGGAGCAGGGGCCGCCGAGGGGAACTTGGACGGGGCAGACGCACGGGGCAGGCACAGCCTCTCTCTGCAACGCTGGCGACGACCGGTTGTCCTGGCTGGGCCCGGGGGCCTGGCCACTGGACTCCACACTGACCAGTGCGGCTGCGGGCTGCCCTGGGGTGGGCTGGCCTGGGGGGGTCTGACTGGAGCTTCCTTTCACACACACAGTGGCCCGTGTCACCTGTAACCACCCTGCGGGAGGGGCCCAGGCACCGTCTCCCCTAGCAGTGCTCCCGGAAGCGTGTTAGGGTGATAGGATGCCCCTTGGAGCCTCGCAGTCATGGTGACTCTGCTGACCTCAGGAGCTCTCTGCTGCCCTCCTGGGCACAAAGGTTTCCCAGTTTGTCTCACTTCCCCCGGGAGGTGATGCGGCTCCCAGACGCCTGCAGGGAGCAGTGTCGTCGGGTGAACGCACCCAGGAGGGAGCCTGAGTGCGCAGGGCTGCCCATTTCCTGGAGACTCTGCATCTTGCCTAGCAAGGCCCCTCCTCTCAGACCCAGGGCCAGGGCGAAGGCCAGCATCCTTCTCCTCGAGACTCCTCCCCACCTCCTCCCGGTCCATGGGGGTGTTCTCGGACGCTTCTGGAATGTCCGCGTCTCCCCTGTGTAAAGTCTGTCCATAGGAAAGGGGCTTCAGTATGTTCTGGAGACATCTTAAAAACGGACAAAGAATTTTCCTGATGTTGAAATTAAAATTATTTCACAATAACGTGGTCACACTGAGCAAGGGATTATTAAAGAGATTTCTCAAATTAAATTGCGTTTTTTAAAAGCATGCATTCTGGAAGCTTAGTAAATGGTTATATTTTATTGCCCTCGTGTCTGCTGCTACCATATATATGCATCTATAATACGCCAAAAAAAACAGTTTTGTGTAACCTTTCTCTCTTTATTATTTAAAAGTGACTTAGTTACTTATGAACGTCTTTGTTTAAAAACACACGTGTACATATAGTATCTGTTCTCTCTCTTGTTTTTCCAAGACCTTGTGATGCTTGTTCCTAGGTATAGCTGATTCACTTTCATTCCATTTGTACTTTCCTGGGAGTAACGGGGGAAATGCTTCTCTCCTAAAGCTGGATTGTGATGACAGTGGCCACAGGAGATGCCAGTACCTCTGAACTAATTTAATACGTTTCTTCTTCCAATGTAGGTCCCGCTGGTTATTTTTAAGCGCGAAAAGGAAGTAGCTCGGAAATTGGAATTTGACGGGCTTTACATTACAGAGCAGCCTTCAGAAGACGATATTAAAGGCCAGTGGGATCGACTCGTAATCAACACACAGTGAGTAAAGAGCATGCGAGGCCTTCGGCGCTCACAGATTTCCACACATGAAGTCCTTTGCCAGAGTTTCCTGCGTTCTATCAGAAGTCGGCAGAGTGATTAATGGGTGTTTATTCAGCCAAGAAAATAAAGGCTCGGCGCCCTCAGCCCCTGGTGGAGGCCATCAGTTCTTGCATCTGCGTTCTGATTCCTTCATCCGAGGGGCTTTGAGTCGGTCCCCAGCCCCGTGGGCTTTGCCTCCATCACTCAGAGTTCGGGGAAGGGTGCAGGGGCTGGGACCTGCGTGCAGGGTTATCTCACCAGAAGCACAGAGGAGCAGAGCCATTCATTACGATAGGAGCGGTAGCATTAGAGACAGAGATACTGAATTTCACGTTTTTAATGTAAACTTTCCGTCGGTGCCGTCAGGCAGCCTGTGGACAACTAGCTGAGCATCAGGACGTGCGAAACAGAAGACAGCAAACATGCTCTTCTGCACACGCGTTGATCAGCCGCGTAGGCCAGGAGCTGCAGGCAGCCCATCCCAGCAGTTTCCCACCGTTGATAGTGTCCGTATTTTCAGAGTCGTTTGCAGTTCTCAAGAGGGAAATGCCTCCTTTTTATCAGTTTAGTGATTCGTTTTGCTTATTTTTAAGAAGTTATTTCCGTAGGTTCTTGATTTTCACATGGGGGTGCTTTGTTTGTGGAGAGCACCGTAGACGTTGGCTCCGAACGCCGTGTTTCGTTTAGCACTCGAGGTGCTAAATCACATTCCGCCCTCCCTCCCAGTGTGTCCCGCCCTGGCCCCGTGCCAGGTCACGCAGGGTCCCGGTCCACGTCGCCTTGGGGATAACCGATGCAAAGGGACTGCTTTCCCTCCGGAGGAAAAGCAGTGACAGGTTTTGAGATCCTTTAAAGGCACTTGACAACGCAATCTGTAAATAGACGAGAAAACACAACCGTCAGCTGACAAACAAATATGCTCATGTTCTTCTCCATTATGTGTACAGTACTTATATATTAACACTTAAAGTAATATTTGATGTGCCCACAATGCAGAAAAATTATAGGGTAAGATGGGAAACAAATTCATTACAATAATCATGAATAGAAAATACGTTTGCATATTATTTTAAATATTTTCTATATTGCAAGCAGTATGTTGTGATTTATCATACTTTAAAATAATACTCTTTTTTTCTATGCTTTTCTATCTTTTAGGTCATTTCCCAACAACTACTGGGACAAATTTGTCAAAAGAAAGGTAATACTTCTTAGAAGGAATAAATTCAGTATTTTTTTCCCCCAAAGTGCAATTCAGATTTGAACTGATGTGGCTCCCGTGTAGAAAGAGATCCTGGGTACGTTCTCTGCCTGTTACTGTCATGGCAAAGAGCAGTGGAGTCGAATGTGAATTCAGCACTTGCGGCAAAGGACCCATCCTCTGGGGCTCCATCCCCCGCGCCCTGACAGTGACTCGGTGGGCTCACCCGCATTACCCACAGCTGGTGGGGTTCCCCACCAGCCAAGGCCCTTTGCAGTTAGGGCGCCGACAGATCAGGCGTGGTCCCCCTTTCCCCCAAAGAGGTAAAGGTGTTGGCCGGCAACAGAGAAATGCATTTATTTTCTTTATAGCATCTTTCAAGGTTTTAGTTTCATGAAGTTTTATTCTTCTGATGCCAACAGCATGGAGGGTGGTAGGAAGCAGCTGAGACGGAGCTCAGCTACGGACCCAGCACAGAGCTCCGTCAGGGGAGTCCAGGGCTGCTCAGGTGGCAGTGCGGGTAGCAGCTCAGCGCAGAGGCAGGCAGCTCGGGGCAGGCTTCTCCCTGACGTGTAGTTTTGCAGTTTGCGTGAGAGGCTGCGAGGCCGTTTTTTAAAATTTGAGTTTAGTTAAGTCACTGAGAGCCCTTCTTCGTAGATATTTTCTTGCTCAGGGTCCACAGCCATAAACTAGACTTTAAAGTGAACTTCAAAATAAGACAAATATATAGTAACTATAAAAATAATTAGATGTTTTATGCACACACAGAGCTGAGCTAACCTAATGGTTGAGGCTCTTTTCTTGCTGTCTCCTAGGTTATGGATAAATACGGCGAGTTCTATGGCCGGGACAGAATCAGCGAGTTGCTTGGCATGGACAAAGCCGCCCTGGACTTCAGCGACGCCCGGGAGAAAAAGAAGCCCAAGAAAGACAGCTCCCTGGCGGCGGTGTGAGTGTCCCTGCTCTGCACCAGCTGGGAGGAGAAACAGTGATAGCATTTGGCCTTGCAGGAGCCTTGGTCTCCTTCCCTCCGGGTCAGAGGGACCGAGAGACAGAGAGCAGAGCGTACACAGTCTACTTTATACCTCGGGCTATTTTGAGCTACGAATGATTGAATTTTTTCTATTAATTTTTGAAGGTGCCTTTTTCATTTTCTTTTAGAAATATATTTTATTGATTTCAGAGAGGAAAGGAGAGGGGGAGAGAGATAGAAACATCAGTGATGAGAGAGAATCATGGATTGGCTGCCTCCTGCATGTCCCCCCTACTGGGGATGGAGCCCGCAAGCCGGGCAAGTGCCCTGCCCAGGAATTGAACCGTGACCTCCTGGTTCAAGGTCGATGTTCAATCACTGAGCCATGCTGGCCAGGCTGAAGGTGCCTTTTTCATTATGTACATAAAACAACAACAAATGCTCTTAATTTAACTTGGCTTTTCTTTCCTTAAGCCAAAGTAAAACATATGCAAAAGTGCAATATATGACTATGTTTTCTGATACTTCTTGTTTGGAAAAATGTTTATTTTCTTAAGTTTTGGAAAAGGGATCTATGTAGCCCTTTTATTTTTTAAAATATGTTTTTTATTGATTTTTAGAGAGAGGGGAAGGGAAACATCGATGAGAGACAAACGGGAAATTCAGACATCCCGACGTCACCCTGACTCTGTTGTAGGTTGCTCTGGGGGAAACGAATCATGCTCTCACGGCGCTCTGGGTGCTGCAAGCCTCCGGGGTGTGGATCTGGGATAGAACTAATGTCCCTGGCATCTGCTTCATGGGCACATATGCACATTCTTTGTCTTTCCAGACTGAACTCCATCGACGTGAAGTATCAGATGTGGACGTGAAGTATCAGATGTGGAAACTAGGAGTCGTTTTCACTGACAATGTAAGTTACGGCAGAGCGCAGGCGCTCCGGTTACCGAGGCTGCCGGCTGCAGATGTTACTAACCTTCTTCTAAATCAATTCACTTAATGCAGAGCACAGCTGGGCAAGACCCAGGGGATACGTGATCAATCGCCTGTCTCTCATTCCCTTTCTTCCAGTAGCTGAGATGAAAACCAACATATCTTTACACAAGAAAAAACTGAGATGCGAAGTTTGGGTAGTTTCATTTAGGTTTCAGTTGGGCGGGGCATCCTTCAACATTTCGTAGCTGTTAAAAAGAAAGTTCTAAATACATAAAAAGAATTTAAATACTAACTATGATAAATTTTAGTTACTCCCCAATGAAATAATCATTGTGTTGATCCTTCGTTTATCAAAGAGCCTCCGAGCCTCAGAAATAAACAGAAGGACCAAGTTAGGTGCCCACAGACAGTGAAAAAAATCTCTTATTACCAAAAGCTACCTGCTATCAGCAGCTGATCCTATTTCTCCATCCTGGCTTGCTCAACAGTGTCACAGTTTTTGTTCTTGAAGTTTTCAGATTAAATAATTGTTCCTATCAGTTGTCGTCCCGATTGCTGGGTGTGGGAAGTCGCTGGAGACTTCCTGAGACGTGGCTGAACGGTGAACCAGGCATGTTCGATGTCGGATGTCAGCCAGCATCCCAGACCTCTCACCAGCCTCTCACCCGGCCTTGTGCTCCAGCTGCGGCTTCTCCCGTGGGCCGCTCATTTCCTCTTAAAGTCTCACTTTAATTTTAGCACTGACTTCCCTAGTGAACACGAGTTCCACTCTCCCAACGACTGGTGACACCCCCAGGTTCTCCTGCCTCTACCCCCACCTCACTCAGCCACGAGCCCGGACGCCAGGGACCTTAGAGACTCCTGAGGCCCCAAACCCTGGCTGTGTGTCTTGGAACTGTCACCTGTTCGTAAGGCGTCTTGCAGCTAATTTCTCTCTAATAGTGGAGGCCACTCCCTGATTGTATAATTAGAATTCTGTAAATTTGTAGTCTAAGAAGGCGAAGTAAACGGAGTGGCTGCACTAGAGTGAAACCAGCATTGGGACCATAGTCACAGGCTCTGTTCTCTGACGCACGTGTGTCCCGTCCCGTCCGCAGTCCTTCCTGTACCTGGCCTGGTACATGACCATGTCCGTGCTGGGGCACTACAACAACTTCTTCTTTGCTGCTCATCTTCTCGACATCGCGATGGGGTTCAAGACGCTGAGGACCATCTTGTCGTCAGTAACGCACAATGGCAAGCAGGTGAGAGGGTTTTAGAAGATCTTTTCAACTGTGGCATTTCACAGGGAAAAAGTTGGCCTTCAAAATAGTGTTGGTATCAGCTATTAAAGTGTCTTTCACTTTGATCATTGCTTTATGTTAGCAAAACAGGATATATATTTATAAATATTTATGTTATATATCATTAATAGTGTGTATTTCCAGATGTTTGAAGCAATGTGATTTCTATTTAGTTTTAGGATATGGAAACTGAAGGGTCCCGGGTTTGATTCCGGTCAAGGGCATGTACCTTGGTTGCAGGCTCCATCCCCGGCCTTGGTCGGGGCTGTGTGGGAGAACCAATCGATGTGTCTCTCTCACATCGAAGTTTCTCTCTCTCTCTCTCTTTCTCTCTCCCTCCCAAATCAATGAAAAAATCATTAATCAGATGAGGATTAATAAAAAATACATATATTTGATTTATAATCAGCCTTAATGAGATAGTTTTAATTGGAATGTATATTAAAGACATTATAAAAGGAAAGAATAATGTAGTACCTACTGTCAGATATTTAGATGATAGAAAAATGAAGATTTTAAGCAGCTTATTATTATCAATTTGGATATGAAGTTAAAACAGTTGATTTATATTCCAGCTCTAGGATGCATTTATTAACTAAGGAATCAAGTTTTACATAAAATATCCGACACCTTCATAAAATAAAGAGAATATGAAAACAGTTCCTCCTGGGTGGTGGGAAAGGCCTCTGGTCACCTGGCTGGTGTGGCTCAGTGGTTGAGCGTCCACCTATGAACCAGGAACTATGAGGTCACAGATTGATTCCTGGTCAGGGCACATGTCTGGGTTGCTGACTCAATCCCCATTGTGGGGCATGTAGGAGGCAGCCGATCGATGATTCTTTCTCATCATAGATGTTTCTCTCTCTCCCTTCCTCTCTGAAATCAATGAAAATATATATTAAAAAAGAAAAGAAAAGAAAGGCATCTGGTCAGTGAGTCCAGCTCGTGCCAAGCCCCACGCCGACATCCCTCCCACAGCCGCCCTGTCCCGTGTCCTAACACGCGCTCGATGTCCCGTTGCTTTCCAGCTGGTGTTAACCGTGGGCTTATTAGCCGTTGTCGTGTACCTGTACACGGTGGTGGCATTCAACTTCTTCCGAAAATTCTACAATAAAAGTGAGGATGGAGACACACCAGATATGAAATGTGACGACATGCTGACGGTAAGTTCATGCTGTGTGGTCCCGTGTGGATGAAGATGCGTCCGCGCCTCAGTCTAAGTAATGCGTGCAGTTCCTCTGTAACGGTGCAGAGCTGGAGCGGGTGCACATCAGAGCACCACCATCCTGCTCATTAGAGCGCATGCAGCCCATCCACACATTCTCTTCCCTGTAGAGGAAACCCACATGGAAAGCCAAAATGTAACCCAAAAGTCATGGTCAGGAGGACGGGCTTACACAGACGTGTCCCCTGAGCAGGGCCTGGCAGGCGAGGCATCCCAGGCCCCCCAGGCGGGGGGGGGTGGAAACCTGGGAGCCAGAACTGGACCTGGAACAGTGCTGGGAAGGGCCAGGAAATTGTCCAGTGAGCCCTCTGCCCACGGGGGCGCTGCAAACCGAGCAGAGGAGGTGAAGCCGGGCAGGCGGCAGGCGGCCGCTGTTAGTCGTTAAGTAAGGAGGTGCAGCTGCAATGGTGACGTGACCCCTTCCCTGTCATGTGAAGACAGATTTGGAGAAAAACATATCCAAGTTCTGAAAGCCCCCAGCAGCGACTGCTGCGGTGGGCGGTGCAGGAACCCGGCTGAGCCTGTGTGTGCAGGCGGCTGGATGGGAGGCGGGGGGTTCTGAAACCGGGACAGGGAGCGAGAGCGCAGCACCTCAGGTCCCGGGATTAGGACTTTGATTAGAGAGAGAGGTGAGGCTCTGGGGGTGAGAGCCCCTGTCCTCGGGGGCATGTCCTCGGCAGGGGCCCTCTCTCCGCAGTGCTACATGTTCCACATGTACGTGGGTGTGCGAGCTGGAGGCGGCATCGGCGATGAGATCGAGGACCCGGCGGGCGATGAGTATGAGATCTATCGGATCATCTTCGACATCACCTTCTTCTTCTTCGTGATTGTCATCCTCTTGGCGATAATACAAGGTAACCCTCCTCCCGGGTACCAGGCGAGCTGGAACCTGAGCCCCCAGCGTCCGCAGCCACTGAGCGGGCTGGCGTTTTCGGGGGAGCCAGCGGCTTTTCCACCCAGAGCCTGGGTGCGTCGGGTCCCGGGGAAGGTGGGCCACGGACACGAGGGAAAGAGCCTCGCCTGGCCCTGCCACCAGCCCTGCTGCGAGCGTCACAGCCCCGAGGGGTGCCCTCAGCCTCAGGTTCCATCAAACGTTATCAGTCTCTGAGTCCTCAAATACTTAACAATATTTTTAAATATTTTTTAAATGAGGCACTTGGCGAGCCCTGTGGGAGGTGGTGCTATTCACACTGGAAGGAAGGAGCCCTAACACGTCTAAGTCACGCCTGGCACCACTGAGGTGTCAGGGCCGGAGCAGGACCCGAGCCTCAGGACCAGCCAGGCCCACCTGGCCCCACAGCGCCTCGGGGTGTGGTTTCTCCCTCAGAAAACGCTCCGGATCTTTGCCGCTCGCACCGGTGTCCTGGCCGGAGTGAAGTGTCGCTACATGTGATATCACGTCTAAGTGCTCCAGCATAAAGGGGTGCTTTTCTCAGTGACGAGCATGGACGGGCCTCACAGACTCACGCCCCGTTCTCCATGTCGTCACTGAGTGTCACCATAACGCAGAGCCATAGGACACGTGGGAGAAAGGGCGCGCCAGCACCCAGGAGGGAAGCAGCTGGGGAAGTTTACTCTTAGGGAACATGGGGGGGAATGATTGGCAGCTCATTCCTCCCAGTGAACGTGGCCACGCTGGGTTTCCAGACACGAGTGAGCAGCACATTAGGCCATTTTCTGGGCTTCATGAAGCCGCTGTTTTTGGCATGAAGTTCCTGTGACAGAGTCTGATGGGTGTGGGCCCCATCGCTGTGCACGTCTACCCCACAGGGAGGAGGCCCAGCCTTGGGGGAGCGCTGGGGTGCACACAGGGGTCCCCACTGCTGAGCGGTGCCCAGCGTGGCTGCACACGCTCCCTCCCAAGGGAGGGTCAGCCGGGGTTTGCGAAGTTGATGATGATTCTCTGGTGGATGAAGACTAAACCGTGTCTTTACTTAACACCAGGTTTAATCATCGATGCGTTTGGGGAACTGAGAGACCAGCAGGAGCAGGTCAAGGAGGACATGGAGGTCAGTGTCCCGTTTCTGCCACGTGCATGATGGGTGCACCCCTCCCCTCACTGCCTTCGCCACAGAGTCCCGTGTGTGTGTGAGCAGGGGGGAAGGGCAGGCACGTGCCTGAGCCGTGTGCTGGGCTGGACCTGGGGGGCCCTGGGCACGTCACCCCTCGAGGGACGGGAGACCAGAAGGATGGGTTCCTGGGGACCCTTAAGGATACAGCCCTGAGTGCCAGGTCTGACTTCCCCATCGATGTTCAGGGGAGGTCCTAACGGAAGGGGTCCCACGCTGAGGCCTGAAGATTTGAGAGAGAGCAGGGCATCTGGCAGCCTCCTTCCCGCTGTACACACACACACACACACACACACACACACACACACATACACACACACTCACACACTCACACACACACACACACACACACACACACACACACACACACACAGACACACACACATCTCCAGGGGCACCGCCCTCGTGAGATTCCATGGGACGGTCACTACCCAGGTTGTACACACCAGGATTCGGGTCTTAGGGAATTTGAAGTGCAGATTTTTTCTTGGAAGCATAAGTGGTTCAGGTGAATTAGTACAACCTGGGGCTGAGCTGGGGCTGGGGCTGGGGCTGGGGCTGGGGCTGGGGCTGGGGCTGGGCTGTGAGGGCTGCTGAGCCCAGCTGCTGAAGAAGGTTTGCAGTGTGAGATAAGAAAGGGCAGTGAGGCGATGACTGAGACTTTACAGTAACTATGGTCTAAAATGCAGGGGGTGAACAGGACCAGGGCAGGCCGTGGCCGGCAGCATTTTCCAATCGGAGGTGATGAGGTTTTGCTAAGAAATGCCCCTGAGGGCCCAGGAGCTAGTTGGACACAGGCAGCCTCAGGCCTCGGCATGGAGAGACCTGGGGCCTGGCTGAGGCAGAGGGCGAGGAGTTGGGGCAGCAGGTTATCGGGTACCGCGCAGCGGCTGCCGTGGTGAGCGGTGGCCTTGGTTCTGCCTTCTGAACGCTGGTGTTTCCATCTTCCCTTCGTCTTCTAGACTAAGTGCTTCATCTGTGGGATAGGCAACGACTACTTCGACACGGTGCCGCACGGCTTCGAAACCCACACCCTGCAGGAGCACAACCTGGCCAACTACCTGTGAGTGTGCCTGTCCGCCCCTCCTCCCCGCCCTCCAGGCCTCTCCTGGGGCCTGTGGATGCTGACATTCCCACGGTCACTCTGACTCGTCTCTGTCTCGCAGGTTTTTCCTGATGTATCTCATCAACAAGGACGAGACGGAGCACACGGGGCAGGTAGGCAAGGGTGACCCAGCCTGAAGGAAAGGGTGAAGGGAGTCCTGCCCTTGGGGACGGAGCAGGGCATTAGACACGGGGAGGGCGTTCCCTCCGACGGTAGTCGTGCATCTTCACACGGGGCCCCTGGTCCAGGACAGTGTGCAGGGCTCGCCTCGAAGAGGGAACGTTCCCAGAGAAACACACTCTTGCTGCTGAAGATGCTAACTTTGGGTTTTGATTATTGTCATGTCCTTGATCTCTTTATTGATAGCAGATGATCTCAAATGAACTTCAACCCACAATATATGGGCAGTGAAAAATAATTGCATATTCGATGTCTAGGTCTGTTCTTAAGCTATTTGAAATTCTCTCTCCACAAAATTCACTTCCAGTTGTTATGGTTTGAATTTGAAGGAGTCAATTAGCAATAATATTTTTCAAAGAACCCTCGAAATCATTCACCACAATTAAGTCTTATTCATTATTTTATTGTGGTCCGGATGCAGATGATCTGTTTATTACTAGAAGTAGGCAGGTCTGACACAGTGCGGACCTGTGTAATGAACCTGGGCTTCTCCAGTGACATCTGTCTGTGTGTGATTACACAGTTGTACCCACATGCTGTATGTCCCAACAGTTGTGAGTTTGTCTTATACTTTGTGGGAACACACAGATGGTGGGGAAGACACGATATTACTGCACTGTCTTTACTCCTACAGGAATCTTACGTGTGGAAGATGTACCAGGAAAGATGTTGGGAGTTTTTCCCAGCCGGGGACTGTTTCCGGAAGCAGTATGAAGACCAGCTGAATTAATTCAGACCCGATCACCTAGAAACCCTAGCACCCTCACCCTCCGTGGCCCTCTGCCTCTCTCTCTCTCTCTCCCTCTCTCTCTCTCTTTCTCCCCCCCTCCCCCCCCGACTCTCTCTGACTTTGTCTCTTGCAAACATCCGCTGATGTGAGACTTGCCGCCTTCCATGCTTTCTGGGAGCAGTGACGCTGTGTTCCTGGCTGGGCCTTCCCCACCTCGTGTATTTCCTTTGAGAATAAAGACTGAAGAATAACCTGTACTCATACGCAGACAACATAGGAACTCCGGAAAGAAAGCCATCTGGACACTCAGGCATAACACAGACAGACGTCCTTCCGTCCTCCCGAGACGCTGGGAGCTCCCTGCGGGCAAGGTCACAGGGAAGGTCGGCCGCGCCCTGGGCTCCTCACTTCTCCATCCTGGGAGGGACCTGGTGGTCCCGCAGCTGCAGTGCCTCCGCCGGTGGCGAAGGAAACAGTGCCTTACTCAGTGGGCTGAGCTATGCAGAAGACGCGCGCGTGGAGCATCTTTGTTTTCATGTCCACTTCGTTTCCTTCGGTTGATTTTGTGAGTTGTTTCCTTTGTTCTTTTGCTTTGTGGGGGAGGGTAGAACAGCAGTCCGTGCACTTTTCAAGGAGCCGGTGGCCGGTCTCGTGACGAGGGGCTCCTCTCATCCTCCCACCCGCGCCCCCCACGGCCCAGCTCCCCTTTCCGCCATGCTCTGATGCAACCCTGCAACTCGATGAAATCCTTGTGTGAAACAGACTGCAGACAACACACTTTCAAAAGAACTCATTGCATGTTTATGATGCAAGTTTCAACTGACAGAGAAAGCCTCCGAGGCCAGCTGGTCCCGCGAGAACGTTCCCTATCACTGGTCCACGGGACAGAGCGCCGTGGGCCCCCGTGTCCACAGCCAGCACCGTCCACCCACCATGACCCGCTGTGGACCTGAGCCGTCCCGGGTGGTCCCCTCTTCCCGCCACCTGTGACCAGCGGCTGAGTGAGGACTTCTCGTCCGACCATTTCTCAATATCGATGCTGAAGCAATACCCATTCAGGGAGTTCATCGGTTGCATAAAGCCACGGGTGATGAGATCAGTCACTCCATTGGGGGTCCTTTTCAGTGGAAGGCTGTTCTTTACAGAGAGAAAGGCAGTTGGGAATGGAAATGAGGCCACGTGGCCAACCCTGGGGCTCTTTTATTTAGGATTGTAACACTGCTCTGATTAAACTATTTAACTAACGTGCGCACCTCTTCTTTCTCCGTTTCGCTTAGAACTGGGACGCACCATAAAGCGTGGAGTGTTTGGGGGGGGAAGGGGGGTCCTGGCCCTGCAGGCTGCCCGGGCTTCGGTGCCACCGGCCTCCTTGTCCCCGCGGGGCTGCTGCGGTCACGATTCTGGTGCCTCAGCGTTACCGGCATGTGAAGTGCCTACCCGCTCTGTATTTCCCTGTTTGGGGGTCCCCTAGAGTGCTTGAAACCCACGAATGACAGAAAAATAACTCCCCCAAATGGTTCCGTTTTACTACAGCTCTCACTTCGGAAAGCTCAGGGCAAGTCCGTTTTCCGTGATAACAGGGTCCATGTTCCGAGCTAATGTGAGAGGGAGGTACCCTCCTGGGGGTGCATTGCACACACGGACGCGAAAGGGCATGTGCCGGGGGCCCCTCGGCGTCCGAGCTACAGCGCCTTGGTCTTCATTCACCCGGTGGTATCATTTTTACTGGGGAGCGGGCAGGCCTTTCCGAGCCCGCTCACCTGCTCAGGGAGCTGAGCTCACATCTGCAGAGTGTGAATAAAGGAAGCCAGGTCCGCCCCATAGCACGTTGGAGAGCACGTGCCATCTGCCAGGGGGCACTGCCCCAGGAGTCATGTGAATTGGAGAAGTTAGCCCTTCCCCACATTATGTCATGAACCTCTATTGCAGCGGTTCTCAACCTTCTGGCCCTTTAAATACAGTTCCTCATGTGGTGACCCCCAACCATAAAATTATTTTCGTGGCTACTTCATCACTGTCATGTTGCTACTGTTATGAATCGTCATGTAAATATCTGATCTGCAGGATGGTCTTAGGCGACCCCTGTGAAAGGGTCGTTCGACCGCCAAAGGGGTCGCGACCCACAGGTTGAGAACCGCTGCTCTATTGTGTTGTGCAGAGGATGACCTGGTCACCGAATGTAACTTTTTTGCCCAGAGCCCTGATATATCGGTGACAGATGCCAGGAGGGGCATCCCGACCTTCATACCAGCGCACGGATGCCCCTAAGATCCTTACAACCATAAATATTAATAAATACTAATAGCACAGGCTCTCCCCTATCAAATCGAAAGTTCGCTCAGCACTTAATCCTGCGGCTTCTGTGAATGTTGAACCACAGCTAAACCCTTGGGAGTCCGACGTTCACAAAACCGTGGGGTGTTTATAGCGACTCCGTTCAGCACAGACACAACAGGCGTGAACGTGATGCGCTCGCGTGTGTCACGGTCTCTGCCTCCCGGGACGCCGGAGCTGGTGGAGGGGAAGCCCCAGGCATCTCGGGCGAGGCGGCCCCTGCAGGCTCGACGGCTGAGGTCACGGCGTCCTTAGTGACGCAGCCGGGGCTGTTGGTAAGTCTGGTCTCTCTTCAAATCTTTTTCTGTTTCTGGCCACGATGGTTCAATAAACCAGAGTGTGTTCTTTAGGAGCCAGTAACCCCGACACAGGAAAGCAGCTGTGGGTTCTGATGAAGATCCTCAGGGCTCACCCGCACCCGCTCCCAGGGCAGGTGATTCCAGAGGGAACCACCGCCCGCAGGATCCGCCTGATCACGCTGCTTCCGCGTCAAACAACCAGGCGTCCGGGTGTCCTAGATCAGAGGGGGTGTTTCATCTTAACATTTCATTCTAGTATCTGCCCTATTGCTTTTTTCTTTTTTTATATATTTTTCTTGATTTCAGAGAGGGGGAGAGAGAGAGAGAGAGACATCAGTGGTGAGAGAGAATCACTGACCGGCTGCCTCCTGCATGCCCCCCACTGGGGATCGAGCCTGTGACTGGGGCATATGCCCTGACCAGGAATCAAACCATTGAGAAGGCTAACCCCTATTTTGTAAAACTACTGTTTGGAATCCTCTGCTATTTTTTAGACGGCCTCTTTTTTTTTTTTTTTTTTTAATATATTTTATTGATTTTTTACAGAGAGGAAGGGAGAGAGATAGAGAGTTAGAAACATAGATGAGAGAGATACATCAATCAGCTGCCTCCTGCACACCTCCCACTGGAGATGTGCCCGCAACCAAGGTACATGCCCTTGCCCGGAATCGAACCTGGGACCCTTCAGTCCGCAGGCCAACGCTCTATCCACTGAGCCAAACCGGTTACGGCTAGACGGCCTCTTATTCTAAAAAAAAAAACAAAACAAAAAAAAAACTTTGCTTTCCAGCCTGCTTGAATAATGAGGAAGATAAACTTAGCTGTCTGACCTTGTAGGCCAGAGACTAGATACGCCCATACTCTCAATGCCATGCCAGGTGTATTTTTTTAATCGGATAGAACTGTGTTGTTTTCAAGGCCACCAGCGAGATAACCACTAAGCACACAGAGGGCTGGCTCTTTAATAAAAAGGGAAGTTCTGCTTGTAGCTCTGCTTAGAATTTGAATTATTTTTCTCTCAGCCCACCGGTGAATAAAGTGTGACTCCAAACCCTCCGAGCATCGCTTGATTTATTCCGGTTCTCTGTAACACCATGACCTCCTGGTTCATAGGTCGACACTCAGCCACTGAGCCACACTAGCCGGGCTCGCTGCCTTATTTCTTTACGGAGTTCTACAGACGGCTTCACTGGTCTTTGTAGCTGTTTACAAGTGACTATATTGTGTCTAAAATAAATCTCGTTCCAGTTGTAATGTTCACCATGATTAGGATGATGGGGGTTCATGCTTCTCCTTAAAGATTTGCGACGCCATCAGTTGAGAAAAGGTTTCCACGGAGCTAGGGATCTTGCGTGTTCACGAGTCAGTGCTGTTTGATGGCAAAAGAACATCGAATTTGCTCTCCTGCCCATCAACTCCCACACGCAGTGGTGTGTCCCAGTTCTCTCCACACATCATAAAATCTGTTTTCTTCGGAGGAATCTGTGGCCTTGATATATGTGCAAACCGCCTGCATGAAGCACTGCTAAATGGTGAATTTTTGTTTGTGGAGAAAGGATTCACTCTCTGGAGACCTGGTTCACCCCACCAAGTGTTACAGAGTGATGCTCCTAATGCGAGAAGACTCTATTCACAGAGAAGCAGAAGCCGGAGCGTTAATAACTTGTAAAAGACCACCAAACCCTAAAGTGATGGCACATGGTAACTTGAAAGTCTCCAGGCTGGGAAGCTCCAGTGCCTAGCAAGGGACCATCTTAGGTGGGACCTCATCCCCAAGGTGACCTTTCCTCCCCTGGCATATGGCTGGTCATGGGATTTAAACCCCCTGCCCTGGTGCCAGCCAACCAACCAGGGGAGACCTAGACCAGGAAAGGACACGCCTGGAAAGCTGCTGAATATTCTACTGAGATCTTCCCTGGGACCGTCCCCAAGATCTCGACGCTTAAACCTCAGCACAGAGGACCCCGTGGGCTCTCCCGCCCGGGAGCTCACCGAGCCTTACCCTCCCCACCCCTCCGTGTCCTCACAGGGGTGTCACCTCTACCTTCCTCTCTCCCCAGCATCAGGGCCCTGCCTTCACCTCTGCCACTTGTTTCCTATGCCCGTTTCTTCTACAGATCACCCCTTTGACCTCCGTGATTTTATAAATAAATGTTCTCTGACAGTTTGGGTCTTGGCTCTGAATTCTTTCCTCGCCAGGACCCAAGTACCGAAGGGTTGCTGAGCCCAAGTCCCACCTGACCCACCGGCCTAACACCCAGTGCCCTTCCCGCCACCGCCAGCATCGTCTCCGTCTTCTTTTCTCACGTGCAGGCTCGTTGTGTCTTTGTTTGATGACTTTTATTTAAACTCAACTGTAGTTATTCTGTCATTTCCTACCCAGAGTTTGCCACTTCAGAC